GTTGGGAGGCAATTATCTTCTACCGTATAAATATAGATCTAGAGAAAGAGTGAAAAGAAATGAGGATTTCTTAAACAAAATGCATACATGTTTTATATAAAGAACATGATTTATAAAATTAGGAGAATATTTTACCATAACTGCTCTCTTCTTAAATATCTTTCCTATAGTTCAACTTCCCTCAGAGAAATGAACCAATGGAACAATTTGGCATATCTTTCCTTTTTCATGATATTGGTTTTTTGTTTTATTTTGGTTCAGGAATTGAACACAAGGACGTGCATCCCAAGCCACATTCCCAGCCCTTTTAATTTTATTTTTTAGGGTCTCACTAATTTGCTTGGGGCCCTCTAGAACTTTGAATCCTCCTGCCTCAGGATCCCTAGTCACTGGGATTACAGGCATTCACCACCACACCCAGCTCCATGAGAATGATTTTTATTATATCTGGAGAAACAACTGTAAAATTAGAAGTCTGTCATAACAGAAATCATTATACCATGGATTCAGAAATAACACAGAAGAAAGCAAGTCCCCAAAGGCGTTACTACATTCAGCAAAAGCTCCTAGATACATAGTTAACCCCTGTCCATTGAAAATGGTTGCAACAGATGTTAAATGATGTTAATTTATATAGATTAGTGCTTAAAATGCAATAAAAATTGAATTTTCACTTTAAGTTGTAGTTCTGACTCAAGACAGAAATGCATAAACGCTTTGGAACATAATATAAACTAGATAAAAATAAGTAATTCATTCCACAGGTATAAAAATAGAGCCATAATTTCTTAATTTTATTAAAACTTTGATTCAAGAAAGTAAACAAGATTCAGAATAGAAATCCAAAAAGGATAGATTAAAGTATATAATCAAATAATACAAAATTCTAAGCAAATAATTAAATATACTAATTTGAGTTTATTTTCTTACTCTGAACAATCACTTTCCAGTAGATATAGTCTTCAGATGTTCCACAGCACAAATGTAGAATATACAACCTCCAAAAATAGTTAAATCAATTAATATTTGTTAAGTACCTACCACAGTGCATGGCATGTAGCAAATACAATAAATGGTATCATTATAATTATTTGTTAATATATATCTTTCATTTGCACAATACTTCTTAAACAATACAAATTTTTAATAGTTTACAGAATTCACATTGATTTCCAACATTCCTAAGTGTCTGTAAAATTTAAGAATACAGAAAAAACTATAATGATTCATCCAACAAATTTATTATCTGACTCAAAATAATGCTTTAGAGCAATTGTGTTTACCTTGCTTAAAATCAGCTAAAGAAAAAAGGTATGTAACACATATTCCTGTAATCCATTAATCATTTTTGAAACTGAAAATTTTAGCATGTTTAATTCAAATTTGCAATTTTCAATGGATCCTTAAACTACCTCCTTTCAACTTTTCCAGATATATTATTAATAAAACAACTAAAATGTTTCACTATAAACTCTGAAATTTGATCAAAATATGTTCCCTATCTATACTTACATTTCAAAATAAAGGTTTTTATACTCAATACACAAAAGACTCATATAATTCAAGAATAAGATTTTTTAAAAAATCAACATCATTAGCAATCAGGGAAATGCAAATCAAAACAACACTGAGATTTCCTCTCACTCCAATTAGAAAGAAATCATCAAAAATACAAATAATAAATGCTATAGAGAATGTGGGATTGTAAATTAGAACAATCACTGTGGAAATCAATATGGAGATTTCCTAACGGACTAGGAATGGAACAACCATAGCACCCAGAAACACCACTCTTCAGTATTTTTCCAAAGGAATTAAAGTCAGCATACTATAGCAATACGTGCATGCCCATGTTCATAGAAGCTCAATTTACAATAGCCAAGTTATAGAATCAGCCTATGCACCCATCACCAAATGAATAAAAAAATGGAATATATATATATATATATATATATATATATACACACACACACACACACACACACACACATATGTAATTCACCCATAAAGAAGACTGAAATTATGTCATTTGCAGGAAAATAGATGAAACTGGAGCATCATAATGAGCCAATAAGCCAGACTCAGAAAGGGTCATATGTACATGACCAATATAACTCCACCTCATGTTTAACAATAAGAATAGGATCTTTTATTATTATTATTATTATTAGGTATAAATGGACACAACACAATGCCTCTATTTTTATGTGGAACCCGGGTCCCGCCCATGCTAGGCGAGCACTCTACCACTAAGCCACAATCCCAGCCCCAGAATGGGATCTTAATTAGAATAAGTTATAGTCAATATACGTATAACATGTCAAAATACATTCTACTATCATGTTTATCTAAAAAGAACAAATTCTAAAAACGAAAAAAAAGAAAGGGTCATATGTTCTCTCACATGCTCAAAAGAAAAAAAAAAATTTAAGTGACCTCATAAAACTAGAGGGGAGACCAGTAGAGTTGAGGAAGCGGGAGAGAGAAAGGAAGGTACTGGGTTATGAAACTGATCAAGTAATGTTATGTGCATGTATACATATCACAATGAATCCCACTATTATGTATAATCATATACCAACAAAAATGGATTTAAAAAAATATCCTTTGTATCTGTAATAGAAATAAATAGAACATAACTTGAATGGATAAGATTCATATTCCACAAGATAATCATAAGAGATAATCAGTAAGAGACATGATGATGAAATCTCACTTCCTAAATATACACTATAGAGACTAATGCATCTTCCAAGTCTTCATCAAGGAGACAAAATGTAACAGATATAAAATAAACTGTAATTTGTAACATATTGATCTACAGAGGCCTGAGAAGAATAATCATCAAAAGACTATTTGGTTTGTTCCCAAGAACAGGACATGACAACTGCTTGATTTAAATTTAAGTGTCCAAAACCTCTAAAAAGTATTCTTTATTGAGGGAAGGGGTACTTTTTTAGGGGAGTGGGTACTGGGGATTGAACCCAAGAGCACTTTATAACTAAGCTCTTAATTTTTTATGTTGAGACAGGATCTCACTAAGTTACTAAAGCTGGCTTTGAACCTATGATCCTCCTCCCTCAGCTTCCCAATATGCTGGGATTACAGGTATAGGCCACCACACCTAGCAGGAAGAAATAATTCTTTTTATTTTATTTATTTATTTTTTAGTTGTCAATGAACCTTCATTTTATTTATTTATATGCAGTGGTGATACTCGAACTAGGTGTCTCACACAGGCTAGGCAAGTGCTCTGCCAATGAGCCACAACCCTGGCCCCAAAAAGGAATAATTCTTAAGCTTCTACCATAACTGATTATGAAATATCATTCAAGAGCTTCCAATTTCTTTTTCTATGATTCGGTGATTACCATAAAATCTCTAGTTATTAACCTGGTTCCCAAAATCTTGGATATAGCAGAATGCACTGGATTATCAAACCGAAAATTCTTATCAGTGGAAAGGATTATCTTCTATTCCAACGGGCATTCTACTGTGTACATTCTAACTTGTACATCATTCTCCTTTCCCTTCATTTGGACTAGCTTCCTGAAGGCTGAGCATACAAGAATAAAAAGATACATTTGAGTTTCTTAGATTAGAAACATGAAAACCAGACATTTTCATTGACAACTGCTACAATCATATCTTGGTGTTCACTACTATGCCCTAACTCTGTGCCTAAAAAAGAAAAAGGGCAGAAGGATTCTTTTGGTTAACTGAAATCTAGGCAGATTCGTTTATACATCAAAATGACTAAGGAAGTAACCACTTTGAATTTAAACCAAAACATAGGATACATATTTATGTAGCCTCCTTCTCCCAAAGGGGAAAAAAAAAAACTATGATATGCAAATTGTGCTATAAGGCAAAATTCAGAAATAATTTCTGAACTTGCATCAGCCAGAAACATTACAACATGGTTTAGCATATATGCTAAATTATTCTAGGATTTTAAAAATTATTTGGGATATTCCATCCGATACAGAACAAGGCAGCAATACTTTAAAGTGTATAAATTTTGGACTTCAAATTATAACTGAGTTTTTTCATTAGGTTATTCAAAAGTAATTGTATTATTTCTTTAAAAAAATTCTCTCTCTGGGCTGGGGCTGTAAGCTCAGTGGCAGAACACTTGCCTAGTATGTGTGAGGCACTGGGTTCAATCCTCAGCATCACATAAAAAATTAAATAAAATAAAACATCGCTATTCCACACTCTGAAATATTCAGCCTCATACCAAGACACTCCAGCTCTTCAATCTACTTAAGTTTCATTTACAAGGACAAAATGCATATCAAATTCTCAGTTCGCCTAAAACAAAGAAATATCTACCAATCCTAAATCCACAGGGAAGAATTCTCTTAGGACCGTGATGACAAGAATTTCCATCGCTACTGAAATTGTCTTTGCAATCTCTGTCTCTAGGAGACTGAAAGGCTGCAGAGACGCTTGAAGATCCTGCTGGGAGTTCGGCTGGAGGAGGGAGGAGGCGGGGAAAAGGGTGAGTCCCACAGAAGAACTGCATCAGAAGAAAAGACTTTTGAGAACGTCTAGAGGGAGGAGGTTAGTTATAGGGGAAACATCCAGATTATGCGCGTTTTAAAGAGAACTTAAAAGTGATGGGGGTAAGAAAAAGTGACAGAAAACAATTGACCTTCCCCAGCCAGAGGGTTATGGGAAGTACCAAAAGCGAACATGGGAGAAAAGCGTGGTGAATAAGGTCCCCAAAGATCGGGAATTGGAAAATAAAATTACCCCGTCTATGAGCTTGGCTTTGGTCGGGATCTCCTGTACAAATAAACTGATAGGAGGAGGAAAGGATCACACTTATTCAGGGTTGTAGGGAGTAACGCGTTTACAACGGTAACGAGCCCTGCATAAGAAGATGTCGCCTATCCCTGCCTGCTCCCGTCCACTCCTTTACCTCTATCTCCTGTGCCACTTGGGCAAAACTTTGCCAAATACTGCGCCGATGGAGGACAGCAAAGGGAAAATACCTGAGTCCCAAGAATCACACCTGCAGCCACAGGAGGTGGAGCCGTGGACAATTGAAGCCAGGACAAGATCCTCACTCGCTCTGGTCAAGACTCAACTCTCACGGGTGGGGCGGGGAACTTCCGCCCGGAGCAAGGACAACGTCACTTCCGCCTAACACCCTTCTCCCCCCCCCCCCCCCCCCCCCCCGCCACCCCACAGCACCTGCCCTCCTCTCCGCCCTAGTTACGTTCCAACGTTCTGACTTCCTCTTCCAGGACACTTCTGCCTTAACATCTGACGTGGACTTCATGACCCAGCATTCATCTCGGCTGGTCGATTTCCGGGTCAAGAGGTCCGCTCGGGGTACATCACCATGGAAGCGATCGGTTTGGTCACGTGGTACTCCTGGTTACGCCCGGTGGCAGCTGTGGGGTCTGGGACTCTAGCGGGGGCCATTTTGCCAAAAGGCTGCCTCCCGGAGTAGGAGGCGGCCTGGCAGCTGGCTCAAGGTGTTCCTTTTCCTCCTCTGCAGTTTGGGGCTTGGGAAGGAAGTGGAAGGCTGGGCTTCATCGAGCCCTTCGGAGACGGCAATGGTTCCCTCCAGCCTTCGCTACCTGACCACCCTCCATGGCGGCTGCGCCATCCTCGCTGCTTCTGGTGCCGCCCCTTTCAGCCGCTTATGCTTGTCGCCTCCAGAGCTGCGGTCGCCCTTCCGCCCCAGAGACTGATGATAATCGAGTTGGGGGCACCATGAGAGGAGAGAAAAATTACTACTGCCGCGGAGCTGCCGGGGACCACGGCTCCTGTCCCCCTACACCTTCACCTCTGGCCTCAACCCTCTTGTTGCCGGCAGAGGCAGTCTCAAGTAGTTGGTCTGGGCCTGGAGGTCGTTTCTCAGGGGGAGATGAAGAGGAGACTCGGCTTTTTCAGCTCTTGCGCACCGTCCCCGATCCTTCCGAGGCTTTCCAGGCTTTGCAGGCTGCTTTGCCACGGCGGGGCGGTCGACTTGGCTTCCCCCGACGTAGGGAAGCATTGTATCGGGCCCTGGGCCGAGTGCTTGTGGAAGGAGGTAGTGATGAGAAACGACTCTGCTTGCAACTTCTCTCCGATGTTCTCCGAGGTCAGGGGGAGGCAGGCCAGCTGGAAGAAGCTTTTAGTTTAGCACTTCTGCCTCAACTAGTTGTCTCCTTACGAGAAGAGAATCCAGCTCTACGGAAAGATGCGCTGCAGATTCTGCACATATGTCTGAAACGTAGTTCTGGACAGGTGCTAAGAACGCTAATACATCAAGGTTTGGAAAGTACCGATAGCCGACTTAGAGCTTCTACTGCACTACTGCTCCCCATCTTACTTACTCCTGAGGATTTGTTGCTCGGCCTGGATCTCACTGAGGTAATAATATCTCTAGCCAGAAAGCTTGGTGATCAGGAGATAGAAGAAGAATCAGAGGTAGCTTTTTCTGCACTTCAACAAATTGGTGAGAGACTTGGCCAAGAGAGGTTTCAATCCTATATCTCTCGTCTGCCATCTGCACTGAGGAGACACTACAATCGCCGCCTGGAGTCCCAGTTTGGAAGTCAAGTTCCTTATTATTTGGAACTTGAAGCCTCTGGATTTCCTGAGGATTCTGTCCCTTGTGCAGTGGCTCTTTGCAATAGCAATCTTAAATTTGGGATTATTCCTCAGGAGCTGCATTCAAGATTATTGGATCAGGAAGACTATAAGAACCGGACTCAGGCCGTTGAAGAACTAAAACAGGTGCTGGGAAAATTTAACCCTAGCTCTACCCCTCATTCTAGTCTTGTTGGTTTCATTAGCTTGTTGTATAATTTGTTAGACGATTCTAACTTCAAAGTGGTCCATAGCACACTTCAGGTCCTGCATTTACTAGTTATTCGTCTTGGAGAGCAAGTCCAACAGTTCTTAGGACCAGTTATAGCAGCTTCTGTCAAAGTACTAGCAGACAACAAATTGGTGATCAAACAGGAATACATGAAAATCTTCCTCAAGCTAATGAAAGAAGTAGGTCCTCAACAGGTGCTTTGTTTACTCCTGGAACATCTTAAACATAAGCATTCCAGAGTAAGAGAGGAGGTGGTGAACATCTGCATCTGCTCCCTCCTGACTTATCCCAGTGAGGATTTTGACTTACCCAAACTGTCTTTTGATCTTGCCCCAGCTCTTGTAGATAGCAAACGCAGGGTTCGCCAAGCAGCTCTAGAAGCCTTTGCTGTGTTGGCATCATCAATGGGCTCAGGTAAAACCAGCATCCTTTTTAAAGCTGTAGATACTATTGAACTGCAAGATAATGGAGATGGAGTGATGAATGCTGTGCAGGCCAGATTGGCTAGAAAAACCCTACCAAGGCTAACAGAACACGGATTTGTGGAATATGCAATACTCATGCCATCTTCTGCTCAGGGTAGGTCAAACCATTTGGCACATGGAGCGGATACAGACTGGGTTTTGGCTGGTAACAGAACTCAGAGTGCACACTGTCTCTGTGGTGATCACACAAGGGATAGCATGCAAATGTATGGATCTTACAGTCCAACTGTCTGTACCCGGAGGGTATTAAGTGCAGGAAAAGGAAAAAATAAATTACCGTGGGAAAATGAGCAGCCTGGAGTTCTTGGAGAAAACCAGACCTCCAATTCCAAGGATATAGAGCAGGTATGCTTGTCTAATTTCCTTGATTTGAACTGAAAGAAATTAAAATGAAAATATGCTTGTGATGACTTAGGAATGAGACTACTTGAACCTTGTTACACTGTTTTAATTTAAATGCTAATGTGAGTATTCATTATAATGGTACGAGTCAAGTATAAGACCACTTAATAGACTTCCCACTTGATTGATTGATTGGTTGATTAAATTTGAGGCCCAGTGTGATGTGGACAACACCTGATTGCAATTTTGAATTATTACTTTGGTATGCCAGTTACTGGATTCATACAATAAACACAGAATACCTAGTAGGTACCAGATAAAGAACTAAGTTCTGGAAATGAAGATGAAACCAGTTCCACACAGTTTTGGGAAAAGGTCAGTTAACAAAATTTCTTAAGTACTAGATTTAGTATATAAAGAGTCCTGTGGGGATTTCTGAATTACTGAAGATAGAAAAAACTAATAATAATTCTACTAGAATTAAAAGTTAAAAAAGTAAATTAAGCATAAAAAGCTGTAGAGAAGATAGTGACATTTGAACTGAGATTCCCCCCAAAACTTTTATTTAAAAAATTCCAAATCTATAGCTAAGAGTATGAGTATCCAGTATTTACCAGTTGTTAACATCTTGCTATATTTGCTAAACCATTTGAAAGTTGCATACATTTTGACATTTCGGTCCTAAATGTCTCCAAAAATATCTACTAAGAATAACATTGTCCTAATAACCATAATATTAATATTTTGCTTTAGAATATTAATTGCAATTCAGTAACATCTAATAGTCTGCATTTACATTTCTCCATTTGTCCCCAAAGTGTTTTGTATTTTTTGTTTTACTTTTGTCATCCAGGATCCAGTCATGGTTCATGTGGCCAATATGTCTTCTTTATCTAGCATTCTGTTTTACATATTTATGTTTCTTTGTTTTTTTCATGACATTGACTTTTTAATAAGAGTCTCGGAAAGTTGCTTTGTAGAATGTGTTACCTTTCAAATCTACCTGTTTCCTTATAATTAGATTAAAGATAAACAGTTTTAGTAAAAATATTACATAGGAGATATGTAATATGAACTTCATAGTACATCAAATTTTTATCCTGTTCCCTTATTAGTGAAGCTTAACTTAATTATTTTGTTTAAAGTGGTAATACCCAAATCCATTGTAAAAATGTATTTTTTTAAATTTACAATTAGTGTATAATCTGTAGGACGATATTTTTGAGACCCTGTGAATATCCCAACAACTTTTCACACACTGGTTTTCACATCCATAAAGGGTTTTACACCTGTATTATTTATTGCACTGGGAGGATACAAAAAGGGTAACTAAAGAAAAAATTCTAACATTTCTTCTATATTTGTTAGCTGAAATTCTCTTATGTGTAATAAATTTTTACATACATCTTAATTTCTTTTTTTAAAATATTTTTTTAGTTTTAAGTAGACACAGTATCTTTGTTTTGCATTTATGTGGTGCTGAGGATCCAACTCAGTGCCTCAGGCATGCTAGGTGAGCGCTGTATCCCTGAGCCACAACCCCAGCCCCTAATTTCTTAATTACTAAAAAAAAATTAGCTTTTTAAATTTTTTTTATTTTTTGTGGTTGTATATGGACAGCAGGCCTTTATTTTAATGTGGTGCTGAGGATCAAACCCAGTGCCTCACATTTGCTAAGCAAGCAGTCCACCACTGAACTACAGCCCCAGCCCAAAATGTAGCTTTTTTGATGCTAAAATTATCTCTTATTTGACCAGCAACTGGCTCCTAAGTCCTTTGGGCTTGACTCTAGTCCTTGAGCACTTTCTTGACATTTTTTAACATGATGCCCAGGATTACTTTGTATTTTTCCTACTTCAGACCTGGAATCGGCTATTTTTTCAAGAGTCCTAATACTGCCTTAGTAGAGTGCAGTATTTAAAAACCAGAGCATGGTATAGATTTGCTCATTGCTATTTCTTTTCATTATGAATTGGCTCTATCAGTGAACAGAATCTTTTTTGTTTTTATTTTTTTAATTTATATTGATACCTTCAATTCAAATCCAACTGTACAGGGTTCTTCCACATCTTTTTTCATTCCCCATTTGAATCTGTCTTCTCCCACAATAAAACCCTAGATCCCAGCAAGTTATATTTATTCAGACACTGTTTCCTACAATATGCAAAAAATTACTAGACTGATACCATAAATAACTACATTCTGAAGTTCAAGATTTCTTTACAATTCTTTTTTTTAATATTTATTTTTAGTTATAGGTGGACACAATATCTTTGTTTTATTTTTATGTGGTGCTTAGGATCGAACCCAGTGCCTCACGCATACTAGGCAAGTGCTCTACCTCTGAGCCACAACCACAGCCCCTCTTTACAGTTCTTTTTGTTGTTATAATTATCCCAGAGTTATGTGTTCAAATTTTTCATAAATTAATTCTTTTGTCTGGGTAATTTTGATTGAAACAGTGGGATGAAAAATGA